ACTGCATGACTCAGTTACAACCAGTTATGACCAGTAACTGGACGTCATCTTCGCTTTGGACGTCAACATCGCTCCAGCAAAGCGGCAAAGCCTTGAAAGTATTGCTAAAACATGTATGGCAGTTATTTGTCATGTTCAAAGCAAGACCAACATGTCCAGTAGTTCAAAGCAAGACCAACATGTCCATCCGTTCAAAGCTAGACCAACATGTCCAGTAGTTCAAAGCTAGACCATCATGTCCAGTAGTTCAAAGCTAGACCAACATGTCCAGTAGTTCATAGCTAGACCAACATGTCCAGTAGTTCAAAGCTAGTCCAACATGTCCAGTAGTTCAAAGCTAGACCAACATGTCCAGTAGTTCATAGCTAGACCAACATGTCCAGTAGTTCAAAGATAGACCAACATGTCCAGTAGTTCAAAGATAGACCAACATGTCCAGTAGTTCAAAGCTAGACCAACATGTCCAGTAGTTCAAAGCTAGACCAACATGTCCAGTAGTTCAAAGCTAGACCAGCATGTCCAGTAGTTCATACTATACACCCTCCATCAGGTCAGCGTCCTTTTCATCCCAGCCAACGCCCTTAACAGTATTAGTATGGAGTCATGCTCTCACACTCGGATTGCGCCCAAATTATCTGCCAGAACTACAACTTTGGCCCCAGTATAAGTCCTGCCGCTTCCACTATAACCACTCTCGATAACTGTGCTCCAAGGCTGGTACAAAAGCCTTTAACACTTCCCAGTAAGATCACTAACTCCTTTGTTTACCCTCAGAAGTAACCTTGCACACTTCCACTTTTCGCTCACTTTTGAATGTTGCCCGTTTTTGTCCTTCCTATGTATCGACTTAGACTCATATTTTCATGAATTATTCTGCATGGCTTGAATCATGGGTTTATTGTCAGCTTCTAATTTACCTTTCCAGCAAATGTCACTTCTCTGAATCTCTCTTCTGCTGCCACACACGCTTAGCTATATCTGACCATTTCACTACCTCATGTAATCACAGGGGAGACTAAGTCTTCCTTACTTCACCCCTATTATTTTTATGCATTGTAATGTTCAGGCATTGGTGCAGTGCCAAAGAAGAATGGAAAGATGCACGTGATTCACCTCATGTCCAGGCCACTTGGGAATAGTTTCAATGACGGTATGCCTATGGCTGGTATATGGTACCATTCAGCACACTGACTTACTTCGGATATCAACATTACTGCCACCATCCAGTGCGACTCTTTTTCTCAGCACAGCCTCGAGTCCCTTATGGTGAAGCTCTCCTCTGCAGCACGTTGGGTTGTCCCGGGGGCCGTAAGTTTCCACAATGTCTCTGGTCTTGTTGCAGCAGGTATCAAAAGCCTCTCAACAAGATACAGTAAAATCGGCCCTAACCGGACACCCTTGCTGCAGCGAAAACCGTCATGATATATCAGAATTCCGCTTGATCCAGGGATGCACGTTTAATCCACAGTACTTTGGTGCAGAAACATCAAGTCAATACAATATTCTGTTTCAGACAAGGTTGGGCAAATACAGGTTGTACTGTAGCTCTTAAATCTAATGATATGGAAGATATCAGGTGGTGGCAGCATCTGCTGCAATACTGGAATGGTAAATCATTCTTCCTGCATTCCGACTGTCCTCCATTACCAAATCTACAACTATAATAATATATAGATGCAAGTGGTTCTCATGTCTGGGGAGTCTACAGGAACGTCTGTCTGGTGTATCAATGGCACGTGGACTAGTGAAGAAGTAGAAAGAGAGACATCATGTGGCATGCGCCGTATGCCTTGCCAATTGTTTTCACCACCTGGTACCATGATGAGGCAAAGCTATGTATCCTCGTTCACTGCACTAATGAAGTAGTTATAGATTATGTAAAGTCGGACTGTAGCAAATCATCTCCAGCTATGCAACTACTCCTCATTGGCAGAGAGCAGACCTTTATGAGAACGAAGAGAAATGAAAATACAGTTGAAACGATAGGAATGAACATTTGTCTCTGCCAAACACAACTTTACTATTCAGCCACCCAAATGTCATGGAGAAGGAACTAGACTGCCGAGTCTTTGTCACGTTTCTTTAGAAAGGCATCTTGGTAGCTCACTCCGGTGCGAAGAACCTACCAGGCGATGTGATCTTGCCCCGATACATGGGGAAGTAAGCTAGTTTGCGGGATGTGTTATATCTTCTAATGCATGACACACCTATTCGACTGGCAATATACACACGCTCCCGCGCGCACACCTGGGCATACAAAAATGTTCCAACGCATGTGTAGTCACAAGCAATTGACACGTTGTGTTAGGGGTTGCGATCACTTCCTTTTGGATAAGGATATTAGAAGAATATGCTGAATGCAGTTCACAAGTTCGAGGGGAAGTTGTGAACGGAAAAGCGGTTAGCAGTATAATACGTTTGACATAATAGTATTTGATTATAGACTGGCTCTAAGGAAGCAATCGATAACCGTTGCACCATGATATCATCACATAATTATTATGATCTTCAGTGATTGCCACCGCCCACAGCCCACCGAGAGCCGACACACAAATGGCCCCAAAGGGCTGGCCCACGGCTGTCCACCATGGTCCAATCACACTAGCGGCCATAGAGGCTGACAGGCAGCCCACCAAGCACTAAAATAATGATCCTGTCAGCACCGGGCTGCTAGCTTACTGCCCACCAAGGGTGCACAAATGGCCGACGCTGCCAGCAATCTGCCCACCAAGGGTGCATGGACGGCCTTTGAGGCCAACAACCTGCCCACCGACAGCTGAAGCCACCTGCACACCGGATACGAATACGTATACCCCATCGAGGGCTGAAGCAAACTTCCCACCTTGAGCTAAAACATTCACGCTACCGAGGGCTGAAGCAAACTGCCCACCTAGAGGTAAAACATTCACCACACCGAGGCCTGAAGCAAACTGCTTACGGGGGCTAACATGTACACCCCATTGAGGGCTAAAGTCGAACTTTTGGAATCGCTGTTTTCTGTGTTCGAACATTAGAGCCACCCTTTCCGAGCAATGGCAAGTTGTTACTGATGCCATGGTGGTCTCGGACGTTGTCCAAGCCCTCTTCCGCACCAAATATATTCATCGCGCTCCGCACTATTCTGCCCCAGAGCACGTATCGTTTTTCTGGAGTTCTTGCCCTTCGACATAGTTTGCGTGGGCATTTATCAAGACTGCAAGCTCGGGTATAAGAATCCGGGTATCTCTCCTGAATTCGAAATGCTGAAGTTGACGATGGCAAGAACAAATTGTTCTCAAATTCGTAAAAAGAACACGACGTGTGCCGCATGATGCTGTGAGGGTAGCATGCCTGAAAACATCAACAAAATCAGCGAAGCGCTTGCCAAGAAAAGAAGGTGCGGAACTGCTTACCCAATCCCGCTGGAAGGTCATGTCAGTGTACTCGAAAAATTATAGTTTTCATGTCATCACCTGCCACCTGGAGTCATGGATGGCTTGAAAACGAAGTTTCATGACCTGAATTTGAACGTGCGTCTTGTTCAGCGTATCGCTTAGTACTGAAGGGTCTGCCTCCAACTCTGATGAAGACATCGACCTTAGCTACAAGTGCAGCAAAAACGGGAGGCCAAAACTAAAGCTTGGTCTGTCGACAATGCTCTGCCTCAATTTCTAGCTGATTTCTTTTCACGTTGAGCGGACAAAATAAATTTGAAAAATCGCTCTGGGAATCAACAATTTTAATGATGTGGAGGAAGTACATTCCATTGAGGGCTGAAGCAACCAGCTCACCAAGAGCTATCACATACATCCCATTGAGGGATGAAGTATACTGCCCCCCCCCCCCCCCCCAGGTGTAGCACATACACCCACCAAGCGCTGAAGCATACTGCTTGCTGTGAGACGACCATGTACCGCCCACCAACGGCTGATGTGTAATGCCTGTACGGACTATTGAGAGCCAAGGAATAGCTGCTGACATCCACGACCTTCCCACCAAGGGCTAAAGCATACGGGCCCTAGGCGCCAATCTCGTACCGCCCAGCGTGTGCAAACGAACGACCAACGGGGCCAAGAATTCTCCCACCTAGGGCTGACATAACTACCTGGCATGAGGAGTCACACCACACACCTACGACAATCCTGATGCCCGCTTGCATCCCCACCTCCATTCGGGAAGAAAACAAGGTTGCAAATGAAGGAAAGAGCAGAGACAAACAAAATAGAGACGGTGGAATGGTGGGGAAAAGTAATACATAATTTCAGCAAATCCAGAAAGAAACTAAAATTTAGGACAGCAACGCCATGTCCAGACAGGTTTCGAGAAATTCAAGACAAATCTGTCGAATTGAAATCATAAAAATGCCCGTAAAAATTGGCCAACTTCGCTTTTCTCGACAACCGGTGGCATGGCCAAGCAATCTGCCTCGCTTTACAAGCGTATTGCATCCCTCATTGCTGAGAAAAGCAGCGAACCATAATTATTCGGTTGTCATGGCATTAATCCGCTGCCGCCTTAGCTTTGCTTTGCTCTGAGCAAGTGCTATGTGCCTGCATGGTAACTGCTCTGTTTTCGCTGTGCATGCACCTGTCTCTTCTTCTGCCTCTCTAGTTGTTGCCGAAGCTGGCACTTCCCGTCATTAATATTGTAGTCTTTAGTTCTTTAATATCAGTATTTGTCATGGCGACTCCATTTCACACTTTGTAGCACGATTTCAAAATTTAAAAAAGTTAAAATTGGCCAACTTGTAAACTGTGCAGGGACAGCAATATGACACATACTCACAGCACCAGCACTGTGCCTATAATACCCATGTGCGTGGGCAACTAAGCTTTCCTGTGCAAAGCCCACATCTTTTGTAATTTGTGCAATTCTTGCATGAGTAACTGAGCTTATGTATGATGCAGACATACTGTATCATTCTGTGCTGGGAAACGTTTGAAATGTGAAAATGAAGTTTTGTCCATGCTGTTCTTTTCTGTTGGTGTATTGTGTTGTGATGTACATGTATGTACCTGTAGGTCACCACACTGGATGGTACATACATACGTGATATAGGCAAACAGGGCAGTGGTAATACTGAATTCAACACCCCCACTGATGTAGCTGTGGATGACGATGGTGATCTTGTGGTGGTTGACAGGGACAATAAGAGACTGCAGGTAAGATACTTGATTGATTAGTGTGGTTCCACTTTTGTTTAATTACACAATGTTGACTGGAAGTTCAGTACAGATAGCAGTCTTCCATTGTTCACATAGCACTAGAGTGTACAGTATGATCATAGTACTAGAGTGTACAGTATGATCATAGTACTAGAGTGTACAGTATGATCATGGTACTAGAGTGTACAGTATGATCATAGTACTAGAGTGTACAGTATGATCATAGTACTAGAGTGTACAGTATGATCATAGTACTAGAGTGTACAGTATGATCATAGTACTAGAGTGTACAGTATGATCATAGTACTAGAGTGTACAGTATGATCATAGTACTAGAGTGTACAGTATGATCATAGTACTAGAGTGTACAGTATGATCATAGTACTAGAGTGTACAGTATGATCATAGTACTAGAGTGTACAGTATGATCAAGGGTAACTAAGCTACCAAGAGTGTGCAACTCTTCATACTCTTTCTATGGGGTCATGCAATGGCAAAAACTCATATCACCTGGTTTTGCAGTCTGGGCGCTTTGCTTGAGTGCTTAGTCTGGCTTAGTCTGAGTTAATCTGAGTGGTCAGTCTGGGCGCGTAGCCTGGGTGGTCAGCATCAGCGGCGTCGGAACCGGTGCGGCTGGTGTGGCCAAAGCGGCACCAATAATTTTCCAAGTCGAAATTCTAAAAATCTATTCTACATTTTTGCAGGCCTGAAAAGGCATGAGGTATCTCATGCATGCATAAACAATGTATGGTGCGCTGTGTGAACCTTTGTACCAGAGCATGGACAGAGGTGGCAAATTTCTGTAATCATGTACCGTGGTAGCAGTTTATTGTTCTGACTCGAAGAGATGGAAGGTTGCCATGGTTACCCCGAAATAGGAGATGCTCTTTTCCAAACCAGGTCACATGACTAGCCCAAGCGAGCCTTCGGGGTTAGCCAAGTTGTGTTGCATGCATTCTTGCCATCTTGGTATGACAGTTATCCCTGGTTGCATTGGGATATGAAGCGTAAACGAGTATTTTGCTTCACGTGCGTAAAGGCAGGTTAAGGAAAGCTCCTCTTCAATACGAAGACCGATGCTGCGTTTATTTCAACTGGCTTTCAAAACTGGAAGTATGGTCCGGGAGGATTCTCGAAATATCAGTCCAGCGACTGTCACAAGGAGGCTGTTGGAAAATTGGAGACAACTCCTGAGACAACTGGTCACGGTGGTGAACTTCTCAACTCACAGTTTCTGTCTGACGGTAAAGAGAATCGAGTGTCTTTCCTCCCCATTCTTCGAAACATCAAGTTTCTTGCTCGACAAGGGCTGCCTCTCCGAGGAGCATCGCAAGATGGAGGTGAAGTAGATAGTGAAGTAGACCTCAGCAAGTCATTGCAGTCGGCCAGTAGATCGCAATTTCCACCAGCTCCTGACCCTCTTCAGCGAATTCCAACCGTCACTACAGAAGTGGCTAGAGAAGAAGAAGGGAAAATACACGAGTGCCGATATGCAGAACGAAAGGTAGAAGGTGATGGCACTCCAGATCCTCCGTGGACTTGCACTCAGTATCGGCAAAAGTAAGTTCGCCATCTGGTGGATGACTCCAGCTGTACGGAGCAGTCAGCGTAATCAAGGATGCCCTGTTGAGGATGAACCTCAAGCTGGAGTGTTGTCGAGGCCAGTGTTATGATGGTGCCTCTACCTTGAAAGGTAGCCGAACAGGAGTTGCAACCCAGATCTTGGCAGAGGAGCCCAGAGCTCTACATACTCACTGCTATGGGCATGCCCTGAATCTCGCTTCTCAGGACATGATTCATGATGTCAAGCATGTCAGGACATCACATTTGAGTTCAGCAATCTCTGCGAAGCATACTGCTGAATACAAGCGCCTGAAAGCTGAGCTTGCACCAGAACAACCTGGATTCCGCACCTGGTGTTCGACCAGTTGGACAGTTCGAGCTGCATCTCTGAAGAGCATCCAGACTAACTACAGCGTCCTTCAACAGTGCCTGAAGTCATGTACCGAGTTTGGAAAGAACGATAAGGAGATGTCAGCAAAGTGCAATGGTGTGAGGAGTCAATTGTCAAATTTTGACTTCCTCTTCGGTGTCTTTCTCGGTGCAACAGTTCTATCTCTTGCTGATAACCTCGGCAAGTCATTGCAGTCTACCACCTTGTCTGCAAAGTGAAGGCCAAGCTATTGCAAACGCTACTGTTGACACTCTCCTGCTTCTCCGTACTGACAGTAGTTTTGAGGCTTTCTGGTCGAACGTGATGGAGCTGCAGTAGTCAAATGACGTGCTTGAACCTCAACTACCGAGAAGGTACCAGCAAGGCTCCAAGAAGGTACCGGTGCTCCCTCATTCCCTGCCACAGTCGAGGCCTACAATTGCCCTGTGTACTTTGCTGCAGTTGACACAGTTGTGCAAGCCATCCGTCAGCGGTTTGACCAGGAAGGCGATTGCAAATACCGGAATTTTGAAGCCATTGCCTCACTGTACAAGGATGACATCCAGACGGATCTCGTTCATGACCAGCTGCCAGTCCTTCATGCGCATTGCGTTGCTGAAGGTGATGGTGCACCGACCGTGCTGAGTGTTGTGTCTTACGTGCAGTCTTTGTCAAGTCGTCAGTTCTTCTTGTCAGAAGTGTGTGTAAAAGCGGACTCGGTTCCGGTTACATATGTTGAGTTTGAAACAGGACGACTGACGACACATTATCCAGACATTACGACGGGAACAGGTAGGTTGGTGCAACGACATTTATTAGAGACGGGACAAGAGACCAAGACGAACGAAACGACTACATGGTGATTATTGACGAGTGAGAAAAGAGAGGAAGAGATCAAGTCTGAACGGCAAGATAAAGGGCCTGGGTAGCGATGGCAAATATGGGCGCGCAAGTAGCTACCCAGGCCAATGGAACAAAAGGAGACAAAAGGTGAGTACGAAAGTGCATGCAGGCCAGCTAGAAAAGGTACGGGAGGAGGTACCTAACATACCACCTCTCCATGAAAAAATCCCGCGTCCTCGCGGAGAGAAAAAAAAGAGAGAAAAAGATTTTAAAAAATGACTGGAGGAGAAAAAAAACACACACACACACACACACACACACACACACACATATTGCACGCGCGCACGGATCTCACGAAAGTGTTTACTAAAAATGCACTACAGATCATTCCTGTGCTACTTATAGTGTGTAATAACTGTTGAATCGGGAAAAAGACGACTGACGGCACATTATCCAGACATTACAACGGGAACAGGTAGGTTGGGGGACGACATTTATTATAGACGACGAGGCAAGAGACCAAGACGAACGAAACGACTACATGGTGATTATTGACGAGTGAGAAAAGAGAGAGAGAGATCAAGTCTAAACGGCAAGATAAAGGGCCTGGGTAGCTATGGCAAATATGGGCGCGCAAGTAGCTACCCAGGTCAACGGAAGAAAAGGAGACAAAAGGTGAGTACGTAAGTGCATGCAGGCCAGCTAGAAAAGGTACGGGAGGAGGTACCTAACATACCACCCCTCCATGAAAAAAATCCCGCATCCTCGCGGAGAGAAAAAAAAGAGAGAAAAAAATTTAAAAAATATGACTGAAGGGGAAAAACACACACACACACACAACGCACGGGCCTCACAAAAGTGTGTACTAAAAAATGCACTACAGATCATTACAACCGTCAACGTTCCTGTACTACTCATACTATAGTGTGTACATTGCCAATAACAACGGGCCCAAACGCCCCTTCAAAACATGGCACAATAATAACTATTGGAGTTCGACGAGGGACTTGGATTGGATTCTGATGACTAGTATTTTGCACGGCTAATAGAGCCTAGTTACACTTTAATATACGACATAAATAAGAGAGCGTGGCTCACCATGATCAGACCCCTAATATTAATGAAGGACAACCGCGCGCACACACACTACAAAAAAATTCACGAAAATAAATTTGACGAAGAAGAAACGCATACAAAAAAAGAGAAAGAGAGAAAGGTAGCTGACCTGCATGGCTTGAACGACACGAGGTTGACATAGACGAGACGAGGTTGGCGTAGGAGAGACGAGGTTGATAGAGATGAGATGAGGTTGGCGTAGGAGAGACGAGACTGACATGGACGAGACGAGGTTGACATAGACGAGAAGAATGGCGGTTGAGGACGGCTGGGCATGGGATGATCTCAGGGTCGTGGGTCGATCAATAATCGGGCGCCAATGTTGAATCGGGAAAAAGACCACTGACGGCACATTATCCAGACATTACAACGGGAACAGGTAAGTTGGGGGACGACATTTATTATAGACGACGAGACAAGAGACCAAGACGAACGAAACGACTACATGGTGATTATTGACGAGTGAGAAAAGAGAGAGAGAGAGATCAAGTCTAAACGGCAAGATAAAGGGCCTGGGTAGCTATGGCAAATATGGGCGCGCAAGTAGCTACCCAGGCCAACGGAAGAAAAGGAGACAAAAGGTGAGTACATAAGTGCATGCAGGCCAGCTAGAAAAGGTACGGGAGGAGGTACCTAACATAACTATTGGAGTTTGACGAGGAACGTGAATTACTAGTATTTTGCACGGCTAATACAGCCTAGTTACACTTTTGCTAAACATCCAAAAATTAGAGCGTGGCTCACCATGATCGGACCCCTAACTTGGTAATGTTTTACGAACACACGCGCGTGCACACACTGCAAAAAAATTCAGGAAAATAAATTTGACGAAGAAGCATACAAAAAAAGAAAGAGAGAAAGGTAGCTGACCTGCATGGCTTGAACGAGACGAGGTGGACATAGACGAGACGAGGTTGGCGTAGGAGAGACGAGGTTGATAGAGACGAGACGAGGTTGGCGTAGGAGAGACGAGACTGACATGGACGAGACGAGGTTGACATAGACGAGACGAATGGCGGTTGAGGACGGCTGGGCATGGGATGATCTCAGGGTCGTGGGTCGATCAATAATCGGGCGCCAATGTTGAGTTCGAAACAGGACGACT